TTATGAATAGGGAGCTCAAGGGCGAAAGCCTTCTTCCCTTAATAAAGTGACCAAAGTGACTTAAATCACGGACGCCAGGCTTGGACGGCATGCCGAAAGGAAATATAGTCCACTACAGAAGGTTCCCCAAGTCAAGAAGTCAGTAAGACCACGTAGGTAAGACAGTGTAATGTAACAAAAGGAGCTAACAGAGGGCTCTACAGAAACAAGCTGCTTACAGGGGACAAGCCAGTTGACATGTGTGGTCTGTGCGTCCGCGCAAAGGTTACGGATCTGGGGGCGCCCGCCAGCCAATCAGCATGAGGTACATAGTTCGCAAGAGAAAAAGCAAAACACCAAAGCGACCTTGAGACATCACGCGACAGCCACGCCTGCATTGTTTGCGGGCAAATGTCTGATGAGTTACGCTGGGCGCTCCAGAGAATTGGGCGAGAGCGGGGGCAGCGGAGAATCACGTGTGGGCCTGCAAGCGTGCATGCGATAAAAGTGTCAGCGCAAGGCTAATCGCAGGACCACTACAGGCATACTCCGAGTGGGGCCGAACACATGTCCCATAAGTTTTTCTGAAGAGCTCCATGTCGATGTGAACGAATCCCCGTCGAAGCGAAAAAAACACCTGTGTCACGCGTTTAGCTGCCTTTGGGCCACGTGAAAATTGTTTATGCGAGGAGTTTATTAGAACAGTGAGATCCTTTTGTTCATCAAAATTTGAAAGGTGCTACCCATCTAGAAGATATTCAAAGGGATCAGCCCTCCCGCTGGTTTTTCCTGAATGGAACCTTAGAACCCCACACTTATTAACGTTGACATTTAAGAGCCAGCTAGAAAATTTCTGATCTGTATGACTAGTTTTTCAATTATTCCAATTTGAAATGATTTATAAATTAAACGTCTATGCGGGAGGCTGTCGCACGCCTTCTTGAAATCAATGTAAATGAAATCAACCCTACCATTTTCATCCAGTAAGTGAGTCCGCTGCTTGGTCGAGAGAGGCAGACCGGAAAGACAAGTGTGTATCTGCGTGAAGCCGTGTTGTAACACTGAGAGTAAGGTGTTCTCCTCCTGGAACTTCATTGTCATCTTACTTATGGTTTACTTTAGTTTACAGCAAATAAAATCTAAGCCGACGATCCGATAATCGTTGGCTGTCGTTCGAGGCCCACCCTTGTATATCGGGTATATATTTGCTGTTTTCCATTTGGATGGCAGTCTTCCTGATTCATGTAGCCTACAGGGATAGGTTTTAGTGATTTAGAGAGCTCGTTTGCCAATTCGTTCAAATACTTTGCCGGTATATTTTCTGGACCGGATGACCCCATTTATGTGCGATAAATTCGCATACTTAAATACTTACTCAAACATTCACAATATAGTCTGTTCTCGATAAAATACTAGTAGAAAGGAATAGCGTCTGTGACACAGTATGAACAGATTGAGGAGGATTAAGTGTTTGATAAAGCCGACTGTCAGTAGTCATGCAAAATACGACGGAGTTCGTCAAAATTTATGCAATAAACCTTTCTTTTAGATAAGAGAAGTATGTTGGGTGCTACAATCTCGCTTGGCAGCGAGTTCCAGAGTCGGACTACCCGATGGCTAAAGGATAATTTCTGACGGTCTGGCCGCACACGTTCGATTTCATCTTTGTAAGGATAACCGCGTAATTGGGTTCTGTAGGGTCTATAACACTACAAATATACAAAACGTCTTAGCAAACATGCAATGAAAAGCTTTCAAGGGTATACTAACTGCTAATAAGGGATTAACCGGACTATTCTAGTGGAAAAGTCGTAAAATCCGGTAAAGAGGTTGACGATGAAG